GAAGCACCTTATTGATGATTTTTTGCTTTGAGATTGATATGAATCAGCCAGAATAGAGACAGCCAAGTGAACAAAAGAAATGCTAACCTCAAAACAGCTGCATTTCTGAGCACTATTGATGACGTATTACCATTCTGATTCTCATTGTCTTCCTTCAGGCAGTATTTACAGGTAATCTTTGTTTGTGTTCATTATTTCAAAAATCTTCCTAAAACACCATATAAATTTTCAGATTGTTTTGGGGAGGGAATTTAAGAATACTTTGCCATTTAATTTTTTTTAGTAGGGAAATAACAGGAAACATACTTTTATATATAAATCTTTTAACACGTAAATGTTTGTGCTGCTGCAAGTGTAAATAGCTATACCACAAGGATGGTTGTTATTTTGGTTTTTTTTTTCTAATGGAATGATGGAGGTGAAAGAAAAACTATGCATAAAACCATCTACTCCAAGGTTTGAAGCCTGGTCCCTGCAGTTTGTACAGAGAAATGCACCACATAGGGGTGTACTATTTGCAAGGGCAGGAAGGAATAGATCAGCAAGGACACGACTGGATGCACATGATCTAGTCCCAGTTCACAAAGCAAACATCCTGCTTCCACTGATGATACAAGATCACAGATCACAGTGATCCAAGCCTCTAATTAGTGCACCATTGTATTGTTTGATGTATAACCAGGTGGATGTGAGATAGATACATCTGTATCTATAGATACATATAAAATGAACATGCTGAAAAGCTGAGGCAGGGCTGTCCCTGACTGAGCCTCAATCAGGCACCTCACCAGACTGTTTTCTTTTCCTTCACAACTCTCCATCTGGTTACTGGGTCTTGCTGATTGCAATTTATATTGTCAATAAACTAATAGCTATCTAACCCCTGTTGTGGTCTTGCATTTCACTGGACAGTATTGAGCAGGCCCATTCTTTCTGAGAACATTTTTTCATGTGGCCTCATATAATACCTAGCAGGTGTTGATCGTAAATTGTCACTAAAATACCCAGAACTCAGATTTTGGAGGAATAAAGAATGCTTTAGGGAAAAAATGTGTCTGCACAGAAAAGGGTATGGATTTGCAGAGCAAGGATTATGTATTAATAGAGGGAGGTTTAGGTTAGATGTTAGGAAGAAATTCTTTACAGAGAGGGTAATCAGGCATTGGAACGGCCTACCCAGAGAGGTGGTGGATTCACCATCCCTGGAGGTTTTTAAAAAGAGATTGGATGTGGCCCTCAGTGCCATGATATAGTAATTGGAGTTGGATCAGGGGTTGGACTTGATGATCTTGGAGGTCTTTTCCAACCCAGTCTATTCTATGATTCTATAAGGCTTTGAAAACCTTATGTTCTTGTCTCCAAACAGCAGAAGGGACTGGGTTCTAAGCAGTATCTTAAACAACATTTAGTAAAAATGAAAACAAAGATCATGAAGTCAGAATTAGTAGGCTCCAGAAGCAGTCCTGATGTAAAACTTATCTGAGTTTTAATATAAAGAGTCTAAAAAATAATTGTATGTAAACATGCACAAAGGAACAGACATGACTTTGAAGAAGGGCTCCCCTTTCACCTCCCATACTCCTCACTTTCATCAATAATTCACTATTCAGACATTTCGCTGCAGCAAGAATTGCATTTCTAAAAGGTGTGGTACCTTTCAGTTAATGCATAAATAATGTTTGAAGGTTTATCCCTCAGTGAAATGAAATTAAATACCTCTAACTTGGTGTAGCAACATAAGGCTACAGTCGAATACTCCTAAGCACACTAACTAAAAGAACATAATTTTAGAACAGCTTTCTAATTAAATGAATCAACGGCTCAAATAAAAACTTTGTGCTCTGCTAAGGTGAGCCAAAATCCAGTTGCTTTTAAGCAGAAAATATTTTAAACATTAAAATAATAAAGTTTTCATCAAGTTTATACAGCCGGTATTTGTCATACTTTGTTCATATTAATAAGAGAAAAAAAATCATATGTTACGAAGTAGGAGTTTATGTTAAATAGCTGTATGGAAAAAAAAGGGCTATATCTTCAAAGCACACCACAAACAAAAATCATGCAGTTCCTGTAATTAGTGTAGTTCTATGTTGGAAATGGTCCAAAATATTTTTTATTACTGAAGATAATCGACAGGACATGGAAGATTCATTAAGAAAATGCTATAGAACTACAGACAATAAATAAATTGTGGCTTTTTAAAATATGTGATACAGAATAGCAAAGTCATGGTTCATCTGTGTACTGTAGTCTAGAAAAGTACCACCTCGGCTGTCTCCTTATTCATGGTCAGTTTCACCAAGCAGGAATAGCACAAAAAAAGTCCCAAGTGTTCACACTCAATAAAGAAAGACTGTGAATATTCCTTTATTCTATCTGCTGTTGTTACCTTATATTAGTGTAAAACCAGTAATAACTATATTGTGAATTAGGCTCAATATTTACTGTTTCTGCCAGCTGTAAATAAAATCTAAATCTCAAAATCCACTGATACCAATATTCTTAGACCCAGAAATCCTACACTGTGTCTTTCACTGCACAATGTTTGTTTTTCTCCTTTTGCTTGAGTTCCAAGATGCAAGCCAGGAACTGTAGGGCTTTGTTACCTGTTTTTAACATGAAGAGCTCTTCAGCTTGAACTGATGTAAAGCAGGACATGATTACCGTGCTGATCTGCTAAAGGTTGGTTATCAAGCATATGAAATGAGCTAATGTTTAATATCAAATTATTAAAATCAACACAAATCTTACTTTTCTTCTATGACATGAAGCAAACATTTTAAAGCAGTCCTAGCAGAATTAATGATAAAAGTTTTTATATTCTTCGAGTACACACATTTTAGGCTAATGTTAATTAGCATTAGCCTAATGCTAATTTAAACTAATACTGCAGCTTCCTAAAAGATACATGCATCGTTTACTGTACAATGTATGTGAATGTGTAACAGAAGCTCTGTTCACAAGCTGTGCAGGTTGAACTGAGCGTCAGAGGTCTATGTTTTTCGTAGCTCCTCAACAAAAATCAGTGTCATCTGTCTTATATAAATATTTAGTTATACGATGAACTATGGCTGAAGTAGACACATAAAGATTGATATTTGTATTTAATTATTTTTGGACCAACATATTTTGTTCCACTTGAGCAGTGCTGCAATAAAACTCAAAGAAGTTACAGATGAATGCACATTACAGAAATGAAAAGAAACAGATTTGATGATTTATCAGACCAAAAAATATAATAAGTTGCTTAAAGATGCACTAGATTACGCGGACATCAAAACCTGTGGCATTTCATTACTTCTGCTGACAATAACTGTCAAATTTAAGGAGTTTTACCTCCACTACTAAGAAATCACTAGCAAACTGAATTTGGACTCTGTCTGCACAGGAACTGTTTCCAGATACTAAACTGATAAGCTGTGGAGAGTGAACCTGAGTGAAAGACCTTCCAGAATGAGAAAGAAGAGCAAGATACCTTGCATCTTCATCTATGAAAAGAACTTTATATTTGAAGTTGGTAAATATTTTAAGATTCCCTTAGAAAAAAGAAAAATGAAGAAAACATTTTTTAAGTGATAACATTTTTAAACTCCCTCAGTTTTCAAAGAAAAGAAAAGAAATCTAGTCTTGGACCAGCTACCAAGAAAATCCCATGTACCTAGACTGAACCCATGCCTTGAAAAGCCAAAATCCCTTTCAGATACATCTACGGTCAAAGAGGACCATAGTGGGGGTCAGTAATCTTTCTAGCCACTGCAGCTAAATCCTTCAGGTATCTGGAGTTTTCAAAGCCTGGGGTTCACATCCCTGCAGTAGCTGTGCTGCTGTGGCAAAGCAGAGGCATTGTCCACGCAGCTGCTTTTGTTGATTCTCCTTTAAGCCGATGGGTGGTAGTACAACCTAAAGGTGGTAGTACAGCTGATCAGCTCCAGCTGATCTCGGGGTTTTTGGGAATTTTCTTCAGCTTTTGCTTGGAGTTATCTACTTGCAAACTCTTTCAGTGCTGGTTATTTTTATGATTTTGCAAAACAGTGTAAGTAGTATGGAAATGGTACATGATGATCAGAGTTTTGAAAGTGCTAAGTAACAAGCAAAGCAAAAAAAAAGGGGAGCAGATGGTACTGCTCCTGGGCAGTACAAAACAATGCTGGGGAGAGAGAATGCAGTCACCTGTAGATACAGAGTGTGAAAAAGACAAATTGAAATAATGCCTTCAGAATTATAGCAGGCAAAAGGAGGAAAACAGAAATATCCTGTCTAAAATCCACCTGGAAGACTCAAAATGACATTTAATTTTCGTCAACTTTAATATTGGCTGTACCTTATTTGATGGACTGTTGAAGTAATAAGACATTAAAATTGCATAAGCAGTCATAAAATACAATGTTTTCAGTCAAATGTGCTATCTATACAGGATCTTGAATAGTCTTTAAAAAAAGTATAATGAAAATACAAGTATCTAAATGTGCTGACTAAGAAAAGGAATGGAATGTTAGCAAGGATTTCATTAGAAGGTTCTGAGTGAAAAGACAAAGGAGTGGAATTCATGGTGGGGGGAAAGCACTCACTGAGGGAAGAAGGAAAAGTATCCAATTTGATTTATTGTCTCCCACAGTTCAGAAGCTGAAGGTTCCTTGAGAATAGCTTAATGCCTACATTATTTAAAAATAAATTAATTGCCATCTGTTCCTTACAGGTGATACCATCAGGAGTTTCTTTACAAGCAAGAGGTCTAGAAAGCAACCTTAAAGGAAAAGCAAAAGCAGAAAATTCCGCAGTCCTAGAACTTTAAAACCGAGGGATGACACTAAATATGACAGGAGTGTCTGAAATATTTCTCTGAATGTGAGTGAATCTAAAAGGTTTGCAGAGAACTGCAGGATGGCAGAAAAGCTGGTTCTGATTGATTCATACAAAGAAAAGAAAAAGAAAAAAAAAAAAAAGGAAGATAAGAGCCTTATTCAGGAATGGAAGAGACAGAAAATAGCATAGGCAGGAGATAAGCCAGGACATATTCTAAGGCGTAAACTTGCAGTGACAGACCTGTGAGCAGATGAGGACAAGATCCCTGAACTGGAAGGTATGAATGAAGATCCACAACATACATGACATACACATGATATTGTTATATATTCACAGTGTAGGAGCTTTTTTTTGTTTGTTTGTTTTTTGCTCCCGGGTGCACTATTCAGAAGTGCAGTTTTAGGAGGGGCTTTAACTATGCTAGAACTGTGGACCAGTTCTAGTGTGTGTCTCACTGGGTTGCTGTTATTGCTTCTTGTTACTGCCTCTCTCATGAAAGCAGTAGGACTTGCAGATAGAATTAGTCAGATCATTGTACTGTTCTGGCTAAAAATCAGTCCTGCGAAGCCAAACAATCCAATCCAGCCCCAGCATTGATGTCCTGGCACAAGGGTGAGAGGTGACGCACCTCTACTCCCAGCCATCCCCCTGAGAGGGCAAGCAAAGCACTTTCCCTGGCAGTGTCTCCCCGTGTACAGGCTGGGAGATCCTACTATGAAATTAGCATGTGTTTCCCTCATGTTTCTTTGATTAGCCCTTTCCTCTATAGGGATGGTTTTGCAATTTGTTTGGAAGTATGGAGGGAAAGAAGAACAAAAAAAATTGGTCATTGGGAATAGCCTTTTGCTTGTCATTACAGAGATGTCTGTGTGCCTGCTCGGATGCTTGCTCCCAGCAATGTTTTATCAACTCAAATACAACGGTTCAACTGTAAGTGATAAGCAGTGCCCTTATTCTTGGTGTCAGAGGTTGCTGGGAATTTTTTTGAAAGTGCCTATAGCATCTAAAATCCAGTATATTATTAAAGGGAAAAAATATTTGAGGGGGAAAATACTGAACAATATAATTGAACAAAAATTGTGTTTTCTTTCTGGATTTATTAGCTTGACTTTTCCTGGATTTAATTGTGTTTCTGTAGTCGAAGGAAGGAAAACACAAAGCCGTAATGCCAGAGAAATCTTGCCTAAGGAAAATAAACTGTGATGTTGTTAGCTAACAAGGTAGATGAACACTGCCGTTGCAAACTCATTGCATGTACCAGTGAGATAAGTTCATTCTGACAAGTGAGTTAGATGAAATTATGAGAAGGACACACAATAGAAAGAGGTCAGCAAAAGCAGGGTTATATGAGATGCCACTGCCCGTCTCGAATAGCATTCTGGCTCTCATTAGCTTGCACCATGGAACTGCCTCTGTAAAGTAGATGCAAAATGGGTTCTTTTGGGATTGGATATAGCCAAAGACTTGCTCAGGAATTTTGCTGACATGCTACAGCTGCTGTTGGGTATTCATTCCGTTCTGCTGGCCATGTGCTACATTTAGGTCAAGATGAAACTCTGTGAAACATTTAGCTTGAACATCAGGTTTCTCCTTACAAATCTGCCTGAACTACTGTGCTGAACTACTTGCTAGGGCAGGCACAGCCCCAGGGTGAACCCCAGCACACTCTGCAGGAGTACAAAGACTGAACCAAAGTTCTGTGATGAATGCAGATGGGATGGTGCTGCTGTTTATATCTGAGAACTTGAATGGGTCACTTATACGGATATTGCAGGGATGGTGAAAAGCCTGATGTAAGTGTCAGATAGGAAAGCTGGAGAGGAGATGATGGGGAAGTGACATGGAAGGATAGACACAGACCTTGTAACTGCGGTGAGTTCAGTTCAGGGCCACAAAAGCAATTAAGGCACTTAAACATTTCCTGTGAGGAATGTTTGAGAGAACTAGGACTGTTCAGCCTGGAAGAGAGAAGACTCGGGGCAAACTCATCAGCACATATAAATACCTGGGAGGAAGGGAGGGAGTGAGGGGAGAAGGACACAGGCATTTCTCAGCAGTATTTGCTGGTAGGACAAGAGGACATGTGGACAAAAATAAAATCTCCTTGCCAAAGCATCTTCTCTGTTGCATCCCACATCAGTATTTTTGAACTATGTTCCCACCAGCTTCTTTTAATATCCTCTAATTCTCTTATTGGAGGGCACAATCAACAGTTATGAGCCATCTGTGTTGCTCATCCTCTTGTAGTAATGTCTGTAATTTCCTTTTCCATGATCTCTTCCCTTGGCTGAAGAATCATAGAATGGCCTGGGTTTGAAGTGACTGAAGTTTTGAAGCCCTATTGTGTGTATGAAGCTTCTATGACCTTGTTGCCTTTCTCTGATCCTTTACCTCTTCTACTGTATTCTATTTGAAGTCAGAAAACTAGGACTACCCATATAAGTTAATGCACAAGCAAATCAGAGGTTTAAACAGTCCTGCAGTCTGCCTTCTCCTTGTCTCTTTCCTAATTATTCCTCAATATCAGATCTTCTTTCTTGTCTTCTTCTGAATATTTAAACTGCTGATTTCCAGGACCTACCAGAACCGTGTGATCTTGTTCATGAGTAACTGCTCACATTTAATTTCTGACTCATAAAGTGGTTCATATACAGGGATATTTTAATGTAATGGCTAAATATGTGGCTGTTAAGCAGGAGGTGCTTCCAGCTAGTAGGATGAGATTTTGCTAAAATGAAGGTTACTGCCTATGTGGATCTGATATAAAAAGTAATAGATTGCAGGGTTATACATGGAAAGGCAAAATACAGATGCTGTGAGAGTCAGTCTGTTTATGTGTGAATATGCCACTACTGGAGGTCAACAGCTGACCTAGTTGTCTGACCTCTTTATGTATTTGTGCTCACCTGGGTTGTTGTTTAACTTTTCCTATCTTAGCTACTGAGCAGTGGTCCTGGAAAAATGGTGTTTAAACTCACCCTGAGGTACTGTGCTGAAGCAGAGAGCCCATGAAGTGTCCTAACAGCATGCTCCAGGTACACAGCAGCCTTGGAGGAGAGAGGTATCATGTTGAGGAACTGACAGAAGCTCTATTCCTTTTCAGTGTTCCCAAATCCCTTTTTTGTGCCAGAAGTCATTTCAGGATACACTCTCCTCTCCCCTCTTTCCCTTAACTCCTCTATACCCAGAGACTGAGTTTCCTCTTACTTTCTCCATGGCAGGGATGCAGAGGAAGCACTCTGAGCATTTGCACAGGTGGAGAGTGACATTTCCTATAGACGCTTCTGCTTCAAGCTAGTTGAGAGCAACCATGCTGAGGGTTTTCCTGTGACTCTTTTCTGAAGCCAGAACCCCAGTAGTCTGACCCATGTTGAGGAGCATCCAAAGTCTGAAATGGGCACTTCATTGCCCTGCTCTGGTGAGATTTGTGTCTTTGCACTCTCAGATGAGAGTGCATTTAGATGAGCATGAAGAATGTCAGCTGGGGAGGGTGCTAGTCCTCTTGAGAGAAAGGTAATGCCTGTTCAACACTCCTTTGTATTCCCACATTTTGTCCCCCAAACTTTTGCTTGGAATCCAGCCTTTAGGACTGTTGTTTGTTCCAACCCCTCCACCTGCTCCCCTCCAATGACAGAGGGTTTGAATGGTTGGAACTAGGTGATCTTTAAGGTCCTTTCCAACCCAAACCATTCTGTGATTCGATGATGATGATTAATCACACGCTACTTTTATCTTGCAATGTGTGGGAAGAAGTTGAAGTCAATGACTATTCTGCAGTGACAGTCTCCTGTTTTCTCTGTAAGGCTTTTGTGGATGTGGTCAGCTTATAACAGTACAGTCCTGAGAAATAGCCTTGCTTTTGTACTCTTGCTCTTTTCAGGTCAGTTCTTTTCATTTTCTTCAGCATCTGAGCATTATGGTCATGCTAGAAAGCAGTATGCTGTCTTGCAAGAAAAATTAACATCTCCAACTGTGTTAAAGTTGAATTTTTGTGATTCGCCACCCAACCTGGATTACTTCAGAGGTGAAACGGCAATACCAATTTGGGTCCCTCAAGCAAAGCCTGGCAAAACTGCAGCAGGTTGAATATTCTCAAATATTCTACCATCATTTTTTGTCCCATTTTCCTTTTACAGTTTTAAAAATATGCAGTTTTCCAGTTGATTGATACAGCTTTGTGAATAGTTTTATGGTTCACTTACAGTTCTTGTCACTATATATGATGTGTGATGTGTGAGTTATAGTCATATGAATACTGTTGGACTTTAGGGTCACTTGTTAAGAGTGTCGTGGAAAAACAGATTTGTTACATTGAGAATTGCTGACAAACCTTTTGTCTGAGTGGTTTGACTTGTGGACAAACTGCTTAGAGTTGTATTTAGAAGAAGGCTGTGAGGCATACACACCTCCTTGGCTGGGCTTATGTGTGACAGTGTTGTCATAGGTCTGTCCCAGTCTGTGCAGTCACCTAATTGTACCTGATAGATACCAATTGATGGAATGAATTAATGATTCAAAACTTTAATGATGACAGGCATTTGCATTGACTGGACCCACCAGAGCATGCACCCGTGAAAAGGTTCATCTCAAGCCTTCTTAAATGTGTCTAAACCTGCCTGCAACCAGTTGGGGATCTGCACAGGCAGGAGCTGGCTGGCTGTTCCTCCATCGCTTGCAGTCTTGCTGGAACAGAAATCTGCAGGCTGAAACCCATGATGCTGCTGGGACCCTCACAATAGGCGCATTGCTGCAGAGCCCCGCTTAGGTGGGTTCCCTTGCCAGATGGAGGGGAATACTCAGCTGTGTGCACGCAGACCTCTGAGAAGACAACAGGTGACCTGGGATCTGCCTGGGGTTCCTTGCTCCATCAAAAATACTTCTGTCTAGTCCTGAGTTTCCACAGATGTAGCCATATATGGATGGCTGGTGGAAGGTCCTGGAGGAATATCGAAGGCTGTCAGCACATGACTGTGAAGACTAAGCTGTGTGAGACAGCAGGCAGCAGCAGCATAATCCCAGCTGGGCTCAGAAATCCACACTGCCACTTCCACCACACTGGCCTTGCCAGGTCCACATGCCCTGGCACAATCTGTGGGGCACCACAGGAGTGCCTGTGGCTACCCAGGACCAGTCACAATGTGAACAGCAGGTCTCACAGGGCAGGCTGGGGTACAGAAAAGAGAAACTGAGGTGCAGGAAGCTTCCAGGAGAGAGAGGAAAGCAAAGCAGGGGAAGGATGTGGGTTTACATCTGGTGGCACCAGAGGAGGTTATGAGACAGTGTGCATTATGGTTAGTCACAATGAGGTAAAGAGAAGCAGCTGAGGTGGGTGGGTAAAATGGGTTTGCTTTCTTGGGAGAAAAGGGAAGATATAGTAGAAAGAGGAATGTGTTGTTATTCAAATGCCACATAGTCAGTTTGACACCAAAATTTTAGCCACAGATTTTCAGGATGCAGATGAAATAGCTCTATTACTGCTGAATTATTACTAACTCCCTGATTGTAATGATACAAGCACTTCCTTTCAAATTACATTTTTCCTTCTCGTGTGCTCTATATAACCTATTTCCAGAAAAAATATTTATCACACCAGTCTTTACTAGTTAAGTGTTACTTTTTCTAGCCAGCTGTTTTTGTTCTGCTTTCCTTTTAGCAGGAAGATGAAACAATTAAAAATTAGTCAGTCTATGTTGTACTTTTTTTTTGCATCTTCTCTAGAAACATTTAGTAGGTGTTGCTATAGGAGGCAGAATGCTGGACTCATCTGACTGTGCATGGCATTTCTGTTTCTGTAATATAGTTTCCAATACCCAGCATTGGATAATACCAATGTCATCCTAGTAATTTCTCTGTGTAAAGGAATCATGCAGTAACTAAACAAACATGCATTTGGAGGTGCTTCGATACATCATAAAGTAAATGGAAAATCCTGTTTGTTTCCACTCAGATTGATTTGTTTGATACTCTCTGAAACTGGTAAAAGGATATTAATAATTTACAGTTCTTAAACATCACCAGCAGTGGCTTTTTTATTTATTCACTTTCATTATTTTCAAAGACTTGTTTGCATTCTTAATTATTAGTGTACTTACCTCCTCCAAATTTCCATCTGATAAGATCAGTAATATTCTTTGGTGTGGAAATTTCAGCAGGTGATGTTAAAATGCTAAAAAAGTCCAGCTCCTTCCTTCTTCTTTGCTTCTGTATGTCTCAGCTTACATTGCTTTCCTGTCTTTGGTGAGTCATTGCATTTACTTTGTACTGATACTTTTACGTTTCAAGCCTGAGCAGTGATTTTGATTTCCTTGTTTTCTGATGAGAAAAGGCACCATTTTTTTCCCTGTAGGTAGCACTGGATTTTTGTCAAATCAGAGAAACCCTCTTTTCCAAGTTATGATTACAGAGGATGTTGTGGAAATGTTATGCAGGTGTATCTGGTCGCTTTTGAAGGTGCTTGATGCTATTTCTGGTAGCAATCCAGGTCCTAAAGGTTTATTGCTTTACAGTTCAGCTGAATATTATAAAGACCTAAAACATAAACAGTATAAAATATAAGAATCAACTGTGAGAATATAAATGAGCATTTCAAATACTGGAAACTCCCAACTATGCAAATATAAATTCCCTTCTCCTTGTCATGACCAAAGGGTGGCAGTGGCTATTGCTGAGCACTGATGCATGACCTAGGAGTAGTGCAACCCAGTATTTCAAGTTTAGCAGAGCATTTTTAGAGACTAGGGTTCACAGACTATCCCACAGTTTGTTCACTCCTGCAAGCAAATAAAACAGCAGCTTTCACCTTCATAGGGCTCTGATAGTTAGTACAAGCTATAGCTCTCCACCCTGCTCCTCAGCCACCTACTGCCACTTGCAGCAAAAGGAGTGGGAGGGGATGTCCTTCTGTGTCTCCTCTGATCTCTTTCTCCTGCTCTGCTGCCTGCCTTGCTACCAGCAAGGTAAACGTCAGGCAGCTGTGAGGACAAGTGTGTTCTCACACCCTGCAGTTTCCTTCTCTATGGATTGCACCCTTAGTTCCTAGTGATCCCATCAGCTGTTAATGACACCCACTCAGCCTCTGTTTCAGCCCTGCCAGTGAAACAACCTCTGGAGGAGCAGTGTGTTGGTGAAGGGATATTGTCTTTCCCCTCCTGCTGCTGCTACTTGTTTAAAAAAAGCCCCAAACCCCTACATCTTTTTATTTCTGAGGTGGTTTTTTAACTTTGTTCATCATGGCACTCACCTCCAGAGGTGGGTAAAGGATAATTAAAACCTGGTGAGCCAGCAGACTTGGCACAAAACCAAGTAGAACTTCGAAATTTTGAAAGGGGTTGTAAAAACTTGGGAAGCATTAACCTCAGATGATTTTTCATGATGATGAAAAGATGAAAGTTGGAAACACGTAACTGAATTATCATCTGGAGATATGCAGCACTTCTGAAGTTAAATCAAAGTATCCTGTTCACTGTAGTTGAAGTAGTTAATATTTGCCAGATTAGCTTGAGGCATTTCGATATAATGTGAAGATAACAGTGGCACAGTGCTTACACAGACAGAATGAGGTATACACACATCCAACTCTTTTTACAGAAACACACCATCAGCACAGCTCCTCTTTAACCTGCAAAATTTTATTTTACTAATACCTTCTACAGATTATGTTGCAACAGTGCAGGAAGTGATTCATTTTAGACATAAAAACGTAGTTATACTTCAAAGTGCTTTATCACTTTCCTGTTTTAACTTAACATAGAGTAACTTGATAAAACTTCAACAGCATTTATGTGTATGAATTAGCCTCGTTTGCTATGCCCATTGTGGCAGCGGAATTATTTGTCAGCAGAATTTCCTTGCACAGCCTACTCTTATCAGAGGACAGCCGCAATTACTAAGCTAAACTGGTATGTGAAAACATATGGTGTTTTGGAGCTGCTTGGTTACTGTGGAGGATAAATAGCTGCTGACCCTAAACAGGATCTTTTTATGAAAAAAAAAAGAGCAGTGTCCCCTGTGCCTTATAAGGCATGGGCAGGCTTATTGCAGCGCTGAAGGAGGGGCGGTAGCGGGTTCATGCTGCTGAGTTTTCTCCGGCAGCGGTCGCAGGCGACTGAAGAAGTAAAGCTGAAATTGCAAACGCTGCGTCCCGGCACTTGACGGCGAAACTCGGTCAAGAGAGGAGGCAGCAGGTGAAATTTAAAAAAAAAAACCACCACTTGATCATGGGCAAATCAGGTGAGCAGGGGAAAATCGTGCAGTTGGCTGTGTTTTCATACAGTGTCCGTGCCTGATTTTGTGCTCAGAAAGCATTGCTAAAGCATTAGTGGCTTTCCCCGGAGAAAGCTGCTTTCGTTTGTGCATGGTACAGCCTGGGAGGAGCTTTCTCTCTGAGAAGGAGTTAGATTAAACAAAAACCAAGAAAAA